ACAACGGCAGTGTTAATCAAATATAAATTAAGTGTGGATTACAATTAATCAAAATCAAATATAAATTAAGTGTGGATTACAATTAATCAAAATAAAATATATTTATATCATAATTGCAAATCATGTTCTTCATCAAAGTATCCTCAAAATAATATTCATGACAGGAAATTTCTTTGATAAGATCAAATTCAACTGTACATGATTCCTATATTAATGTATTTATGCTAGGCTTACATTACATGATAATAAATTTTCTTTAAAGATATTAAACACGTGTAGTAGTCCTAACATGAGAAAATTGTAATATGCGCCAATATTCAAAGCTCTGTATAAAGTCTCATGTAATGTCTTTAGTGAATTTTATATTAATTTATTCATAATTTCTAACTAAATACCTTTAATGAAATAGATAGCAAAAAAAGTCTATAGGCAAATAATATTTAGCTACAAGACCCATAAACCTTACATAATATTCAAACACTCAAATAATCCCTGTGTAATGTCCTACTAACTTTTGATTTAGCAAGTTCAACAACTTCAGAATATTTTATAAATTTTCACAAAAAAACTTTTCAATTTACCAATCCAATCTAATATTTCTTTAAGATTGTAGTTCCCATTAAACATAGAATTATAATAATAAACTTTATGGTAATCACATTATAGTTGTTTAGAGCTACAACCCACTCAACTTTATTCAAATTGTGTAACATTTATTATTTATCATTGTAGTTGTCTACAAGAGTTATTATATAGTACTTGCAATTGATATGATGCAGGACATTTTAAAATCAAATTTTATGATGCAACTAAGTGATGCTACGAATGAAATTCAAATACTCTAAAATATAAAATTCATTGTTAACACTTAACAAACGACTAATTATAAAAATTTTCACTTTCTCTATGCATGCCAAAAAACATGCACACATTCCAAATAATAATTCAATGATTTACAAATAAGAAACTAAAAAAAAAAAAAAAAAAAAAAAAAAAAAAAAACCATAAAACAATAGTTCAATTAAGTTGCACTACAATTATAAATCCAAATTGTAGGACATTTAATCAAATCCAATCCTGTGCAAACGGCAAACCTATTAATTAAAGCATGGAAAGAAATCATTGATGTGTTAATCTAGACCTCAATACACTGCACTTCAAGAATTTTGCATCCAACAAGCATTTAAATTTGAGTGAAAAATATAATTCCATTAAACAATAAATTATATTTACAAGCTTAAGTAATCCATACTGATCCCTTAAAAGAAAAATTGGAAGTGAAAGGGTCGATTAATAGATCCAATTTACACTCTACATATAATTTACATGAGACTTGTTCAAATCAAAAATTAAAGGAAGAAAACACATGGAATAACTATCCTCAAGATAAAAATCTCCTCCACTAAAAGTGATGCATTTTATTTTTGTCTTACATTTTAATTTATCTTGCATTATTTGTTTTGGACAAATTTAGTTATGTTTGCTATTTTATTTTATGCTATCCAATGATGGTGGTAAATCCAATGATAATGGTAGGAAAAGGATTGGGTTTGCTTACCTTGGGTTTGCCGGCTTTAGGGTCCACCTTATCCTTTGGGCTGTTTTCTAGTTCTATGGGAGCCTTGGCTGATTTTGGTTTTGAGCTTTAGTTGTTGAAATTTTAGTGGTGCAAGCTCATTATTATCATGTGGAGGTGTAGCTCATTATGAGCTGATGTTTAGCTCTAAATTCATTATGAGGTGCAAGCTATTTGGTGAGTAGAACTTGTCTCTTCCTCTTTTTCTTTGCCTCTTGAGCTGCTGCATTATTTTTCCTGTGCTGGAACCGTGGCCTTCAATGTGCTTTAATAGTGGATGTTGGTTTCTTGTGCTTGGCTGTTGGAACCGAAATTTCCCTCCTTGGATTTGCTGTGCCGTTTGGGGTTTCTCTGTGCTGGAACCGTGGCCACCTCTTGGATTTGCCGTTTGGGGTTTCCCTGTGCTGGAACCGTGGCCTTTTTTCTTGAAACTTGCTATGCTGTTTGGAATTTGTGCAGGAAATTTAAGGCTTTTATCATTCCATTTATGGGGATTCTTGGGCTGTTTGGTTCCCCCTTATGCCTATATATATGAGATGTTTTGTGATGAATTGGTTGGTGAATATTTGAGAGCAAAGTTGCTATAACCTGCGGGTTCTTCTTGGAAAAGCTTGAGAGCTTTGTCCACCTTCGTCCACCTCCTCTGGAAATCTTGCGAGCTCTTTCCAACCTTTCGTCTCGGCTTCTAACCTCTTTCTTCTCTACTCAAGTTTCACTCCACCTGTATCTTTCTTCTAAGTTCCGTGGGTAAAAGTTGTTGGCTGTTTTGGTGGTATTTGGTGGCTGTTTTGGTGGCATTTGCTGGAGGAGTTTGGTAGAACGTTGGATCCCTTTTGCAGTGGTGGACCCTTGGTTTGCATATCTAAATCCTTATTCTTAAATATATTCCTACACTCGGTACATGTGAGGAGTCCTCTTGCAGGATGTTCTGAGGATAGTGTTTAGTTGTTTTATGTTTAATTTCGTTGCTAACTTTTCTTTGTGTTTTGGTTTTTGGATGATCTTTGCTCTTTCTTTCTGAAATTTAGTATTCCATTTAGTCTTTTGTGTTCTCCAAGAAGTGTCTTAAACTTTTAATAAAAGTGGAGTTTGATTTACTTGACTTTCTCTTTGAGTTTTGTTTCGAGTTGCTTGCATCAAAAAGTCCTAGCAATAGACGCACTACAACCAATATTATTAAACATGGCACTACTAAATATTCACTAGAATCGATCAAAACTGTTGGGTTTGTCATTCAGCATGAATATCATATCACATTACTCCAAAAACACCACCTCCAAATTCTAAAACCAGACAAGTTCGACCTCTAAACAATGCCAGGATCCGATGGAATCAATGCAAACATCAAACAAATCCTCATTAACGACCACTTGACCTCAAAAACACTATAGTAAGCAACGTCCAAGGTAACAACAAATTTTAAAACTAATAAACTTTTAAAGAACAGCTATAACATCCCCATTTACACATATTCTTAAAGAAAAAATAGAGAGCACAACCCACTCTAGTATGGAGAAGTAGAGGGCATCACAAACATGTTTAGAAAGAAAGATAACACAAAATTAAATTGTGAAAGCTAACACAAAATTAAACTAGTACTAAAATTATTAAAAATACATTACTTTTTATTTATTCATCTGAATTCATGCATCTTGCATTCTTTACTATAAATTTTGATATTTGCATCATAAATGAGACAATTTCACAGCAAGCATTGGCTAAAAAAGTAATTCATGCCCTATTGATTGCATCCTTAGCCCAAAATACTCAGAATTATCCATTAAGGAACATTTCAATTTTGATTGTAACCATAATACAATATTTCGCTGCAATCAGGCTAACAACTATATAAGAAAGTGTGTACCAAATCTTCACCATCATGAGAATTTCTATTGTGATTATATGGACACACCAATATGACAATAATTCATTCGTGGTTTGAACAACCTTTGAATTTGTCACCTTTGGCAAGCTTGGTGCGAAGGGAAAATAAGTAGATGCTCTAAGCATGAAGCAGGCAATTAATTTTCTTTAGAGCTTTTATTCTCTATTTAGGTGTACTTCTATATTTTTTCTAGCGAAAATATTATTAAGATCAACATTGGACATAAATCCCTCCCGTTCCTTTTTTTCTCGGGAGCGTCTATCAATAAAAGTGGATGGTATATTTGTCAAGTGCAGAGGGGCTAAAATGGCCAATGTTTATTGCTGGACTTTGAGGAACTTTGGAGATAGCGGTGATTTTTATGATTATGACCCTCGGTGACCACACCCATCATTGAGAAGGCGAGTCCATTGAATGTAAATATTTTTCCAAGGAGGATTTGGATTAATGGCCCTGCTTTTTTATTAATGGGCATTATTTTCTTTGCAGAGGCTTGTGGAAACATACAATATTCCATTCGGTTGAAATTATATTTTGCTCACCCATCAGTGGGCAGACGAGTTGTAAAAGACCAATCTTTTGATTTACAGTGAATATAATTTTGCATGTCAATGTTGGCCATCGTTTACAGGCAAATAGAATATTTGTCATTTTCAATAACTTTGTAGACATTTGATGCCACATACAATGTTGGTGAACTCCTTTGGGTATGGTCTTTAATAATTGTTCAAATCCTTAACATGATATAGACCTTAGATATTTGCCTTTGAATTTGGAGACAATGGATAACTCATGTCATGATTTTTAGATAGTCATAACCATCATCAAAGATGAGAGCCAAGGAGAACAACTTTTAATTTAGGAGCATCTCTTCATATAAATGGACCTCACATATGATTTTTTACTAACCGCATCCATCATTCAAGAATAATGTTTTATAATGTTCATTCAGATATTCTTTATTGCTTCTGCATTTCATCATATTATGGGAAAAAAGGGTTGACATTAGATCGAAAAGAAGTTCAGGTAGAATTTGTGTTTGGTAAATCTGAAGATCAAAGCTCAAAAAGCTGATCATACCATCTTAGTCTATTGGATGGAAGCCCAAGTACTAGATTTATTTAAATGATTTTAGGAGCTTTGGCAAGTTGTCATGCAACCTAAGGCAAAAGAAGCATATATTGTTCAATTATGATTAACATAATTACTTGTATACTTCTTTTGAAATTCAAAGGAAAAGAGAAGTTATCTGCAAAACAAGAAAAGAAAATTATAAAAAATTCAGAATTGATGAGATTATATCAAAGTGCTATACTTCCGTCAAAATTCAAATTTCGTCATCTAGAACTAACCCAACCAAAAAAATGAGGGGGAAAAAACGATAACAACGCACTGCCCGGGCATGTATTAAGGAACTTTAAGACTTCATCAAAATTACTTACAAAAATCATAATAAAACTAGCACCTACACTCAGCCACTAAAAACCAAATAGATAACTACGAAAAAGCATAAAGTACCGTGGGTCTGAGAACACTTACCAGTCCTTGCACGCTTCACACTGCACCATGAGGTCATCCGGATTATAAGGCATCTCGCACTTGCAGTACCTTCATACACAGCTAAACAAATCAGAACCATGACTATTTTCTCATCCCACCAAAACAAACAAGGAAATGGCAGCTCAAAAGAAAGATCGGCGGAGGAAATTTACACGGCGACACGGTCAGGAGTGAAACCACCAGTAGAGGCCTTGTACTCAAAGCGGCAGAAGTAGTCCTCTGTCCCGACATTCTCAAGCTTGGTGTAGTTCTTGAAGGAGTGAACAACGCATTTTCCTTCAATAGTGTGAGCGCTCTGAACGTCATAGTGATCGGAGAGAAAGAGCTCTTTGGCCCCGTGGAACTGCCGTCGACCACCGATCGACTCCTCCGGTCGGTAATACCATCGGACCTTCACCTTCACGTTGTTACGGTGATCCGCCTCGATCTTCTCCACTCGCGCGACGTAGGGTGGCTTGTCGGAGTCCGAGGGCCTCATCAACACGCAATCACCCGCTGCAGAGACATCCATCGTCACTATCTAAGAACATGAAAACCCTATAATCCATCATCTCGAGACAAGAGAGCAGAAGCGGGCAAGGGATACATACAGTGCACGATCTTGTTGGTTCCCTTGATGGTGTAGGAATCGAGGTCCTTCTTCCCCGGCTTCGTCTTCGCCATCGATTACTGCTGCCGTCGAACCTCTTCTTCTCCAGCAAGACCAGCTCCAAGTCAAATCTCACGCACTCTGTTAGCCAGCGACCTCACTGGATGCGCACTTGGTCACTCCTCCCTCGTCCAACTTTCTCTGCGAATCGGCGCAGGGTGGGTAAGGGAGTAAGATGGGATAGTGCAAATGGGAGTTTCAACCCTAGTGCTTTTTTTTTCTCTCTCTCTCTCTCTCTTCTCTTTTTTTAATAAATGATCAATGCTGATGAGCTCCTCTCGAAGAGAACAAAAGGTGCTTCGAGCTTAGGATTCTCTCGACAAAAAATAAAATTAATAAATTATATATATATATATATATATATATAATTATTCATTAAAGATTTCTTTTAAGGATGATGAGTTTTAAGATTTATATGTGTAGTGTCCTGGAATATTTGTGGAAGTAGAAAAATAAAATATTTAATGTCTTAACTTTGTACGAAAATATGACACTAAATAAGATAAGATAGAGGGTGTAGCATTTATTAGAGACACCAATTTTTTTACGTGAAAATTCCCTGGAAATGGGGAAAAATCATGGGGTATAGCTCAATTTGAATGAATCAACTATTATTTGCAGTCCATTACAATTGAGGCTCTTCCTTAATTGAGGCCCTTCCTTAGGGGGGAGGCATTGACTTGATGTACATTATATGAAATACATGATGGGAATACAAAGTGTCAATGTTGACATGTTCATTTGGTCGAAAGGATCATAGTTGATGGGTGGCGTAAGTCAGAAGGACCATAGTCGGCGGGCGGCAGAGGTTGGAAGGACTGTAGTCGGTGGGCGATGGAAGTCAGAAGGACCGTAGTCGGCAGGTGACGGAGGTCATAAAGATCGTTGTCTGGCGACAGAGGTCGAAAGGATTGTGTCAAGTCGAAGTCCAGCAATGAACAGAAATCTAACATCGGATAGTTGTCCGGCGAAAACCTAACAACGGGCATAAGTCCGGTATCAGGTAGAAATCTGGTGACGAACGGAGGTTAGACGTCGGATAGAAGTCCGACGTCAGTCGGTGGCTGGGAAGAACACCGGTGTTAGATGGTATTCGGACTAAACTCCAGAGTCACTTGGAAATCAGACAAAATTTCGGCATTACTTGGAGATCGGACGGAGTTTCAGCGTTACTTGAAAGTTAGGCGAAACTTCAACGTCCCATGGAAGACGTCTAGGATTCTGGCGTCTCGTGGAAGTCGGGCAGAATCCCGGCGTCCCGTGGAAGTCGGGCAGAATTTCGGCGGTGATCGATAAGGAGTTTCTTCCCTCCTACTCTCTCTTATCTGCTTGTGTGCTGGATCTTCGTACAACGCTAATACATTAAAATTATATAGTTCTCTACCGCCGTGAATATTCCAGGACGCAACAATATCAATTAATATTTTCTTACTATTCTTCTCATTTCAAAATATTTTAAATATATAAATTTTTAAAAGATTTAATAAAATCAACTCATTTAATGTAGAATAAATTTTTTATGTGGATTAACATTATTTCTTTATTTTTTATTTAAATTAATCATTCAAAATGATTGATGATTGACTCATTTTGCATGTAAACGACTTTCAATATACCTACAAAAAGGTGCTATTCCTTATTTGCAATGATACTCATAAAACTTAATAGTTTCTATTTTATTTTCAATAAAAATATATTTATTCAAAGCTTAAAATAGTATTTGCTTGTCAAACTATATGTTATCCAGTCAAGTGGCATACTATCAAATATTTGACAATGAATATTTGCAAGAACAAATATTTTAAAAAATAATTATTGAATGTGAAAAATATTTGTTTATATATTAATTCTTTTTGCGTGCTGAAATTTCCACAACAATAGAAAGAAAGTTGCTAAAATTTAAACTTTGTATGATAATTCTACTAATATATATTCTTAAGTATTGGTTAAAATGTTGCACATTCTCATAATTATACAAACATGAGCTATGGAGAATGTATCACATGGCAGATGTTAGAAGAGTCTTATAGCATTGAAGCGGCCATTTCAAGATATCATTTGTTGTAGTTTGTTTATTTTTGTAATAACTCGTATTTTGACTCAGTTAATTAATATTTCAAGAGTCATTATAAGTCTAATTTACAAATTGTCTTCGCCATAATATAGATATTATCGTGATTTAATTATGAAAAATTTCTCCTAATTTTATAGGCAGTGTAGAAAGTTGACACATGCCAGTATAAGTGGATTTGTTGGTGTCTGTTTTACAAACTGATTACACTGACCATAGTTTTCTAGACATGCTTAGCTAATTAATAAATATTTTTTAATAATTTTTAAATATATGAATTTGAAGGTATAAAAAATTTTATACTGAAAACTAAATAATTTTTATAATTATCAATATATCCTCAATATTTTTTTTTTAATAAAAATATCTTTATCCATTAACAACTTAACATAACATTACATAAGCCATTTTTTTTTTCTTCTTATTTATTTAACAAAGAGGAAGGAAAAAAAATAAAATAAAAGGAGAGAGGAGAGAAGAGAGAAGCTAGGTTTATAGGTCGTATAATTGTTTTTGATAGCCAATTCCATTGGGAAATTTCTCATCTCAAGGCACTACAGGAAAACTTGTTATTACCGGCGGACGGAATCCGCCGGAACAAATGTAAATTCCGACGGTACCGGTATTTTCCGGCGCATGTACCGGCGCAAATATCTCCGCCGGTTTTGAGTGCGTCGATAAATTTGTTCCGACGCATATTTTGCGCCGGAACCAGTTCCGGCGTTGTTTCCGACGCATTACCGGCGCATTAAACGGTTTGTTTGCCGACGTGAAAAACGTGAAAGCAAAAAAAATTGAAAACAAAAACCAAACCTTCGGTTCTCCTCGGCGGCGCGCGACTAGGCAGGAAATGCGTGCGATTAGGAAGGAGGCTCGGCACGACTAGGCAGGAAATGCGCGCGACCCGAAGTCCGGTGACCGTCGGCGATGTCTAACCGCGGCGAGCGACGAACGGCGACGGAGGGCGACGGGCGAAGCAGTCGAAGTGAGAGAATGTAAGGAAACAAATGACGGCCAGACGGGTTCGGGATCGCGAAATAGGGCGTTTACCGGCGGACGTTCCGCCGGTAATTGCATTAGTGACGTCGGTATAATTTCCGACGTCTCATCCGTCGGTTATATTTCGTTGAGTTTAAATACGCCGGCGCAATTTCCGCCGGTAACATACGCCGTAATAGTTCCGCCGTAACGTGCGACGGAAATGGTTCAGACGTCCCAATAGCGTCGAACGTTCCGGCCGAAAATGCGTCGGTAACGTTACGGCGTATTTTGCGCCGGAAAGTTTGACGCAAACTTTACGTTGGACAAAGCCGCCGGAAACTGCGCCGCTTACTACCGTCCATAATTTTCCGCCGGAAAATCCGACGGTATTTGCGTGTTTTCCCGTAGTGAGGTAGGCTACAATTACCCTACATCTGATTTAAATGATTTTGTGTATTTTATATTTTATGAATTTTAATTTGATCAAAACTTTTAAAAAATGATATATCTTTATTTTTAGCAAATTTCCACCGTATAATTTTCAGCATGTTATAATTTTATTATTTTGCACATATTGGCATGATGTTGTTGTTATTGTAGTTGCACATATTGACATTATCCAAATTACCCAAATTAGTATTTTTTTGGGCGATAACTTAATTTTGGAAATTTAAATAAATTTAAAATTTGAGAAATATGATTAAAATATTCTCATATAAGTATATGACATTCATACTTGTTATAATCTAACTATTGTATGTTTATATATGTGAAAAAGAGTACACTATATTTTCTTATGAATTTTACTAATTTTAATTTGTATGCAAATTTTACATATATTAATATGATACAATGAACTAAACATTGAGTGTGACATCATATTCTTATGTTATATATGCTATGAAATATGTGCAAGTAAAGACTGGACATAGATGATTGACTGATTCAGTTTGGCTAGACACATATTATCTTGTACAGGAGGGTGGGTCTATAAACTTTTCTTTAAAATAAGATTTGTGGTGTAATCCTAAATAATATGAAAATAGATGCATAAGGAAACATATTGATATAATATGATACATTGACATACAAAAAGAGATAACTTATGATATAAAAGCCACCTGACCAAGATAATTTGTGATGTAACAGATTCATGAAATTATGACTAATATAATTGAAACTGATTCCTGCAAGGTTGGCCTACATGACTGGATATAGAAAAAAATATAACAAATAGCTGGATGCATTTTTTTGCTTGCACGTGTATATATATATATATATATATACTATGACTGATACAAGAATATGATAAGATTAATCAAACTGATACAAAGGTATATATGAATAATATGATTTACATGATATACATGTATATAATAATGATAGGTGTATGAATATAATAAAATGTTATATAAATAATTTTGTAATTGTTGGGTATATAATTGGCGAAACTTATAAATCATTGTTCACTTTATTACTAATCACTGCTCTTAAGATATATATTTATACTTATATTTATTAATCATATAACATGTTACTATTTCATTGATTGTTATATACATTTTACAGTTATGTGTTCATAACTTCATATTAATTGTGATTGAATGATTACATGTATATTGTTCATATTATCTTACACTAATTTCAATTGTAGCTCTGGTAGCCTACTGGGCCTTTAGTTTTTTTTTTTTAGAAAGGGGTCAGGATCCAATGGAGTAAAGACAAATCATATATTCATGTTATATTTTATTTTTACAATTTCTTTAGTTTTTATTTTTTGCAGTCAATACCAAAAAGATTGATCGATGAATGAATGTATTAAACTCTTAACTATTGTATATGAATTTGGTAGATTAATTAACTAAGAAATAGTCAATTCTTTCAAAAGTAGACTCTGAGGTGTTAAATTTTTTTTATTAGGGCATGAGACCAAAAACTTAGAATTTTAGTTAAATCTTAGTGTTAATGTTAAGAGTCAAAGTTTGTGTTGATGGTGAACATTAAATTTATAGGTGGAGGGTGTCGATTTTCATGGCGATGGAGGGTGACAAAGTCAACAACCACTAACATAGATGGGCAATTGTGGTTAAAAGGAGCAATGTGGCTAAAGAATCATAATCAGACAATAGTATTATATGAACCATAATTATATAACATCGCTCAGGAAATTGCATTATGGCGACGATCATTAGTGAATCATAATTATACAATGATAATCAAAGTGCATGTA